ACCTTTTTTCACAAGAGTCTCGAGATCATACCCGTGTGTTCACCGAACACGCTCGATCGTTACCTAAGCGGTGGGGAGACCGAGACGTAAGCACTAGTATTACTAGTAAGCAGGCAGTCATGATCTCATGATACAATGAGTGGGCAGGCAGCTTCTCTCTTGCTGTCTTTGTTTTTGTAGTACGGGGTGGGCCACCAACAGTTTTCTTGATCACATTTCAACTTTTTTTTTTTTCGAATAAATAAGAAACATTTGATAGGCATCAAGTGATCTACTGCGACCTATCAGATAATGAAAGCGATGATTTGATTTGCAATAATTCGCTATGTCACGACGAGTCCTACATGTAAATAGCGAACCACTCATCGAAAATCATCAAACTATATGTACATATTATATGCTTATGTTTTGTTGGCGAGGACGCTCGTTTTATTCAAATTATTTTCGATAATGTTCATCTGCTTCACTAGAAATTATTATTAGTAGTTATGTAGTACTTAGTAGTATTGTAGTAGCAGCTTTGTTATTTAAAATGGAACACCTTATATTTTATTACATATTTCGATTCTTCTAATTGAGCTATAATTTTGTTGATCAAGCTCAAGGTATACCTATACGTAGAATGTGAAAAATCGAGATTTTTTTTTGTATCGAAACTATACAATACCTATATTGATTTGTCAAAATGGCTTACATGTGTCCCTATCCTAACATCCTATTTACTATCTACTGATGCCATTTAATTGAAACAAATACAGGGTGGATCAGATTTCAGAATTATATAAAAGAAGAACTAGTATGCCTACTAAAAAAATATATATATTTGAAATAAACAAAACAAATATATCACATAAAAAAACACACTCTAATATTCAACATAAAATAAAATTCAATCCCACTGGATGTATTTAAAAATATAAACAGTGTGCATGTCACTTCTATAAGGGAATATCAACCCGTATATCTAACGTAACTGTTCAATTTTAAGGAGCGATAGATATATATATACCAATTATGACCAAAGTGAGGTAATCTTCAGTGAAAAACACTGCTCTGGTCATGGACCCACCAACATTTCCGGAAAATGATATTAGGAGGCAAGATAGGTTGAAAATCACTTCGGATTCGAAATCAGGACGTAACCCTGTACCTCGAAAACGAAGCAAGTTTAGGACACATGTTCATATGACCTTTATTCATCATATTATATCACAAGGAATCATCCCTTGAATTATTTCGGTGTTATTTAGATACACCCTGTATAGATCATTATTCATCCCAATATAGTTATTCAACATTTTTCCCATAGCGAAGTTCAGCAAATACCGATGGCGAGAGCACTATGTTTATTGATTTGATGTCTACCTATAATATATGTAAAACAAGAAGGCACAACTACTAGTGTTCCGTTTCGAAGTACATTAAATTGACAAATTTGACTCCAAAATAATTCAGGCACGCGCCAATATTCATAACGTTGTTACTGCTGTCCGTTTACGTTTCCCGTTTCCCCACCGCTTACGGAACGATCGGGCGTGTTCGGTGAACACACGGGTATGATCTCGAGACTCTAGTCTTTTTTCGCCTCAGCAGGCTTAGATTCGATGAAAATCTGAATAATGAATGAAAATAGTGAGAAGACAATTCAGATATAACAAAAAAACCGCCATTCTCCTATTCACATACACGATTCCTCAAAAGCACATACCACTACCATCACAAATAATTCACACAAACAGCATTTTTGAAAAACAACGCGATTCAATCGACGAGAAATTTCTCATAACGTCCACGATATGACTGAACAAATATAGAAATAGAAACTTGATAGTCAGCGGGAAACCTGATAACAATTTAACGATGATAATGCATGTCTAGCGAACAACAAAAATGTATTGAACAAGATATGAACTACCACGAGGAAAAATATAATATACAGGACGATCAAGAACCTGAATCAGATGAAATATTTGAGAGACGTATGACTTTAAATCATAACAATGCATATAGGTTTTCGACTGCGATATCTGAAAACACTATGGCTACCGACGATCTGTGACAGATCCAACGATCAAGAAAAAATACATCCTACCATTGAAAATAAATAAGACTCCTAAGGATGAACACGCAAATACATTGATATGCGCAGAGTTTCAATGTTTGCGAGATATCAATAAAGAATGGAGAACCGTGAATAACCTATATTTTCATGTTATCTTTCATGCAGCTAGTATATGAACTTCTTGATAATACTGACAATAGATGCGCGAATAGAATACTCTACTTTCTTCACGACATCGTTACAAATGATGCTAGATAGATGACACTTGACAGATGCCACTTAACACATGAGGCGTTTTGCAGATGATGTATAATTGAGAGGACACATATTACGCATGCGTCAAAACGTGACGAAAACATCACAAAAACATCACGATTGAATAATTCGAAAAGACTAATGTACACGACGAAAAATTATTATATCTCTTGCCATCATTCCCAGACAGTTTAAGTCTCCCATCCTATTCAGAATCGTATCTCGGCTATCATTTGAAATATCCCCCAACTTCATCAAAATAAAATAATCACAAGGCGACACTCTCTTCAAACCGATATAAAGATTCCCCATGCTCATTATAAATAACAATTGAATCCAAACAGCATATGACACAAAGTTCTATCACGAACGTTGCTTCACAGAAACTGGGATTTTCATTTCAGACAGGAAACTTCTCTACAAAATACAGATACGACCTGTTTTAGAATACTGTTCCCTATATGGGTTCAGCACTTACCCATAGAGACAAGCCATACCAGAAAGACAAGCCATGCGCCTGATGAGCGATGCCACACTCACTAATTCTTAGAAAACATCTGAACATCATAAATAAAAACTCATAAAACGACTAAGTTCATCATAGGAAGTGTTTCCAAGATCTCCAAATGCAGAATCTCAGCCAATTTCATTGATATAAAATGATCTCAGGGCACCATTTATTTTCACTCGAAATAAAGATACTATATGGAGATCCTGAACAAGAATTGGGATCAATCAGTATACTACGACACCCAAATCCATCACGAAAGTTTCAACGAATGAACTATGATTTTTATTTCACGCGGAAAGCTACTATACAAAATACAGATATGACATTTTTCAGAGTACTGTTCCTACATATTATGGGATTCAACATCCAAACAAACTCTGATGCTTCTAGATTTCATTCAGAGATACAGCCCATTCACCTAATTGGTGTTTCTACACTCACTGATTCTCAAACAACATTGTAACATCACCGAAATGACATCGACCTTCCATTTCTCTACAGATACATAGAAAATAATTTTCAGAGATTTCTACTATCATCCCATCGCTAGCAATACCAGTCAGACGCAATCAAGAAATTCAGAAAACGCATTCTGTTATCACCAATCTTGAATATGTCGAGCAACTCTTTACCAAAACTCATTGAATGACTGAGTTTACTATAGGAAGTGTTTCTAAGATCTCGAAAAGTTTGAAATTCAATACCTATACCTCCTGTTGTAGCCTGTGCATGATTTTCTTCGAATATAATAGGTATTTGCTCTGGTGCGCTTCAAGAGATGAATAGTAATGATAATCTGACGCATATTGTGGCACCAAACATTCAAACAACGTATACCAATAATTATGAATTAACTTCTAAGACGAAAATATTTGGAAAATCATCTCTCTCTTATCAAGTGAGACATTCCCAGTTAGATTGAATATCCTATCCTCTTTAAGGTATGCACGACGTTCTTCTAACATTGTTAGGATTTTCATTCGTGCGGTCCAAGTGATAAAAAAATATGAACTGATGAAAATGTACCAGAACATGAAAAACGTGAAAAAATATTCAAATATGCTATTTTACATTATGGAGAATCGTATCCTAGCTATCGCTCGAAATATTGACCAACTTCATCGATATAAAATAATGATAATGAACTAGATTCTCCACCTGACATATAGAAAATGAAAGATCAGAATCATAAAAAAAACATTGTCAGAGGGAAAATATTCAAATCAGGGGCGTCATTTCAGAGTTTGTCAGGGGGGGGCAAGATGAGGTCAGGAGAAAAGTGCGCCGCAGGCGAAATTTTTTTTGCTTCAAGGTCAAATGGTTTCAAATCGAAAGTAAAGTTTCCCAACCAGTATGTGCAGATGCAGATTTTCATGCATTCTATGTGCAGAAAAAACTTTTCTTACTTATACAACGATGAATTTGAGGAGTTTTCATTCAATATAAATAGGTTTGGACACAACCAACTCAGGTAGATATAACAAAACAAAAAACCACATTATATGATATTATATTGAGCATTGAACTTAGAAATAACTCTCTGGTAACAAACGTAACAAAAACAAAAATAAATAAGAATTCTAAATCAAATAAATATGTCACAGAAATAAAGGTACATTGACGTTGTAATCACAAAGGAGTAGTAAATTCACAATTAGTTAATTCAACAAAGGATATCGTCGTTTTTTCATCCTGGCGAAATGATCAACAGCTTCGTCAAGATCGATATTTTTCACTTCATCCGATTCAACAGATATCACGAGTAAATCACTCAATCTATTGTCTGCAGTAGTACTCCGTAAATAACTTTTGATTATTTTCATTGAAGAAAAAAATCTTTCATTGGTAGCTGTTGTTACGGGTAAGGTAAGAACCAAATCTATTAATTTTAATGATTCACTAAAAGCTTCTGGTAATGCATTCAGTCGATCTCTAATGTCTATAATATTTTTGCATACATGCATATCCGATTCTAAAAATTGCTTGGCTGTAGTGAATTCGCTTGATAAACGGATTGAATCAATTTGATTGATTGATTGATTATAATGCTCTATAAGTGGCTTCGCAGAATCTATGTTCAGGAATTCATTATGAGAGCTGACATCAAATATAATTAAGGAATTCAGTATTTCATTGTGATCCAAGAACCTCCGATCTAATTCCGAAATAAACCTGTCTAGGACCATGAAGAATACATCAATTTTGATTTCAGGATTATCGTTCTTGCCTATAGTACTATCAACAAAATAATCGGTTAATCTGCTATTATATTTTCTCTGCCTGGAGTGCCTGGTACGTTGAATAGTCATTTCTTGATCGGAGTTCATTATCGTGGCGGTGTCCTTTATTGCATTCCATGAGGTATCATTCCTCATGTTCTCTAACATTTTTTTGGTACAATTGACCAATTTGAGTGCTGCTACTATATTGAGCTCTGTATTTTGAAGCTCACAAGACAAGGCATGAACTTTTTCTAGTATTGATTCCATAGTGCACAAAGTTAAAGTGAATTCTGTCCTGGAAATTTCTGCCAGTAAACCAGTAGCTTCAGCTCGTACCACTTTATCAACTGATTGGTCAGATAGGGCTGTCAATGTATCCTTGATTGACATATAGCGTACTTTAACCTTTTTCAGTGACTTATACCAATAAGACCAGCGAGTATCCACTAATCTCTCTAAATGAATAACAGATTCATTTCGTTGTTTCTGTGACTCAACGAACATTTCGTATCGAGTCTGACCATTCATTATAAAAGTATATAAATTTTGAACAATGTCAAAAAAATCGCTCACTGCCTTAATGTGTTTAACTGTGGCAATCAAACAAAGGTTCAACCTATGTGCATGGCAATGTACATAAATTGCGTTTGGAGCAACATCTCGTATTCTCTTCTGAACCCCTGACAATGCACCACTCATTACTGATGCTCCGTCATAGCTTTGAGCAATACACTTTTTCAAATCCAGTTTGTAGGTCATCATGATATTTATTATCTCTGAAGATAAACTTGCAGCATCAGATTTTTTCATATGATAACAACCCAAAGCTCTTTCCTGGACATTACCTAATTTATCCACGAACCGGAGAACAAATGACAACTGTTCCTTTTTTGAAATATCTTTCGATTCATCGACTAAAATAGAGAAAAACCCATGCGATGACATCTTGTCTAGAATAGATTGTCTTGTAAGAGCACCGACTGTAGCGATTAAGTCGTTTTGATATTCTGGGGAAGTGTAGTGACCATATCGTAGAGACAATTTTTCTTTCAACCTCTTATTTTCATCAGAGAAAATTTCTAGCAGCTCAATGAAATTTCCTTTATTCCTAGAATTTTCGCTTTCATCTTTCCCCCGAAAAGCTAGTCCTTGCCTCCCCAGGAAACAAGTTGCTTTAATCAACCATCGAACATGCCGGCGGTTATCTTCAACATCACAGGCGCGGTTCTCGTTCAACGTATTTGCTATGTTTTGGGAAGTTTTATTTTGAATTGCAGTGGCATTTGTCCAAAATGTCATAGAACTTATATGTTTCTGACTCACAGAATGTTGTTGAAGTATGGATTTGATATCTCTCCACTTACTCACACCATAGTCAACAAACGCTACTTTTCCGTAGGATTGTCCAGCAAATACAGTATTTCTACAGAAATGTCTACATGCATAGCAGTAAACAGAATCATCTTCAATGGAGTATTCAAGCCATCTGAATATTTTGTAGTGCTCGGGATTGAATCTTCTGCCATTTTTTACTGGAAATTCGGAAATAATCGGTTGAGCCGGAGGGTGGTTGTGAGACAATGATAAGTTTGATGTTATCTTTAAATTATCATTGCTCGAAGTGCTCGAACTGGCAGACGCTGTAGATTGCAACTGCAATTTTAAATAAATAAATCTTAATACACTATTCGAAATCAGCAGTCAACTTACCCTGTTAGGATGACCAGCATTTGAACGAATATCGATGACACTTCCGGTTTCAATATTCGGTTGCTCGCTATCAGTCTCACAACGATCACTCAAAGTGACAGTTTTTTTGTTGCAATTCTTCAGCCAATTTTCCATCAGGCCTCTTGAGCCAGCCGATCTTTTCATTATATTGGAATCGAGTAGCTCAATAAGTTCAGAAATTGTCAAAAAGGGAATAATGCCCGTCCTACCTATTAGGATTTCAATTTGCGATTCGCGTCTCACGCGGTAACAAAAGCAAGATGATATTGGCACAAATAATCGAACGTGTTGTAACGGAGCTTCTAACCTTAACCCTCTACAGAGCCACTATACGAACGACGAACGACACATACTCCTACAGACTGTCAGACTCCAGACTGCCCCTTTCCATAACACCTACAATCAGGCGATCGGTTTGTTCGCGTTAGAAAAATGAACAGTTCGAGTTCGAAACCATCAGAAGCATGCGCAGTTCCACGGAACTTTAAGAATCAGTATAGTCAGTTATGTTTATAAATGGAACGCGAACAAGCCTAATGTAATGTAAAACCATAATTATGGAATCAAGGTATGTCCAGTGGATTGAGCGACAATTTTCGTATTTTTTCAATTTCTGCTACTTGTTGACTGGGGAGTTACAAGTCACTCTATATTCACCCTATATAATTATTTTGCTCTTCGCTCCAAGGTTCGTATTCACATAATTCAACGAAAAAGAGGCTAGGATCTCTGGCATCGAATTGTCGCTGTCTGAAACCAGGGGGGGCAGTTGACCCCCCCTGCCCCCCCTAAATGACGCCCCTGATTCAAATAGGTTGTTATTCTGTACACTATGGAAAATATAGTATCTCGGCTATCATTTGAAATATTGCCCAACTTCTTCGATATAGAATAATCACAAGGTACAATTTTTTTCAAACGAAATAAAGATACCCTATGCGGATTATGGATAACTATTGAATTCAAACAGTATATGACAGATAGTTCCATCACGAACGCTGCTTCACAAAAACTAGGATCTGCAAATACATTGATATACGCAGAGCTTCAATGCTTGCGAGATATCAATAAAGAATGGAGAGCCGTGAATAACCTATATTCTTATGTTATCTTCCATAAAGCTAGTATTGGGCCGTCTCAATGATATTGACAATAGATGCGCGAATAGAATACTCTACTTTATGTACGACATCGTTACAAATTATGCTAGATAGATGACACTTGACAGATGCCATGTGACACATGAAGCGTTTTTCAGATGATGTATAATTAAGAGGAGTCATATTACGCATGCGTCAAAACGTGACGGAAACATCACGAAAACAGCACGATTGAATTATTGCTTCGATAACATAATATGAGGATGGCACACCATTCTGACCAAATAAAATATGAAGAACATTAACCAATTATGAATTATTGAGGACTTAGATAAAAATACTCGAAATGACTAATGTACACTGCGAAAAATTAATATATCTCTTACTATCATTGCCAGACAGTTCAAGTATCCTATCCTATTCAAAATCGTATCTAGGCTATCATTCGAAATATTGCCAAACTTCATCGATATAGATGAAGGTAGTATTCTTTTCGAACCGAAATGAAGATTCCCAATGCTGATTATAAATGAAAGCTACTCTACGAAATACAGATACAACCTGTTCAAGAATACTGTTCCTCATATGGGTTCAGCACTCACACATATACGTTGATGCTCCTAGATGCCATCCAGAGAGACTAGCTATGCGCCTGGTGGGCGATGCAACACTCACCAAGTCTCAAAAACATTGAAACATCGCAAATGAGTCGAAGAGAGTCGGAGACGTTTCCTTATTCTACAGATACTTCCGCTTCATTAACAAAATTGAAACATCACAGAAAAGCTGTTACTCTTCAGATAAATGTTGAACAACTCTTTACTGGAACTCATAAAACGACTGAGTTTACCAAAGGAAGTAGTTCCAAGATACACCAATGTTCAATACTGCACCTCCTTTTGGCAACCTCCCTAGGCATGCGCGATGTTTCACGAACATAATGAGCATTTCCTTCAGTGCGCTTCAAGTGATGAAAGAATAATAATCCGACACCTATCATAGTTCCAACCATTTGAATAACGTATAACAATCAGGAATTTACTTCATAGACAAAAATATTCCAACATGCTATCATGCATTAGGGAAAATCATATACAGAGTGGGCCTTTGAAAACGAAACAGAGGCTCTGTAGGTCGCCAAAACCGGATTATAAAAAAAAACTGAAACATGTCAACTACATTTTCGAGGGGGACATCTTTCTAAAATATTTTCAGCCCTGCGGCGTTGCCGCTTCTAAAGAAAAGAAGCAACAACTTTGTTATTTCAAATGGAACACCTTGTATTTTATTGCATTTTTAGATTCTCCCCGAAGAGCTGATTTCATCAATGCATCACACTTAGGGTCTAGCTGTAATGGTTTCAGGGATATAAAGTGTTCAAAATCGAGATTTTTCAACTTTAACATTTTTTTGTGTCGAAACTATTCATTATTGGTCAAAACGGCTCCCATCTGCCGATCTCAACTTGTGATTTACTATCTACTGACATTTATTTGAAACCAATACAGGGTGGTTCAAGATTCAGAATTCTGATCACCCTGTATCTGTTCCAGTTAAATGTCAGTAGATAGTAAATCACAAGTTGAGATAGGAACATCAGAGCCGTTTTGACCAATAATGAATAGTTTCGACACAAAAAAATGTCAAAGTTGAAAAATCTCGATTTTGAACACTTTATATCCCTGAAACCATTACAGCTAGACCCCAAGTGTGATGCATTGATGAAATCAGCTCTTCGGGGAGAATCTAAAAATGCAATGAAATACAAGGTGTTCCATTTGAAATAACAAAGTTGTTGCTTCTTTTCGTTAGCAGCGGCAACGCCGCAGGGCTGAAAATATTGTAGGACGATGTCCCCCTCGAAAACGTAGTTGGGGTGTTTCAGATTCTTTTCATAATCCGGTTTTGGCGACCTACAGAGCCTCTGTTTCGTTTTCAAAGGCCCACTCTGTACATATGTCTTGTCAGGTGAACTTTTCACCAATTTCATCAATATGAAATGATCACGAAATGAAGATACTAATGCTGATTCTGAACAAGAATTGAAATCAAACAGTATACGATACCCGGATATCCATCACGAAAGTTTCAACACAAAAACTAGGATTTTTATTCCAGACAAAATGCTACTCTACAAAATACAGATAAAACCTGTTTTAGAATACTGTCTCCACATTTGGGGTTCAGCAACCACATATACGTTTATGCTCCTAGATTCCATCAAGAGACACAAGTCATCCGCCTGGTGAGTGATGCCACACTCGTCGATATAGCATCAATCCCATCCAATGATGTCAACCTACTCTCTGACCTATCCTGTTAGTGAGTATGGCATCACTCACCAGGCGAATGACCTGTCTCTCTTGATGGAATCTAGAAGCATTAGCGTATATGTGGTTGCTGAACCCCATATGTGGAGACAGTATTCTAGAACAAGTTGTATCTGTATTTTGTAGAGTAGCATGTTGTCTGGAATGAAAATCCTGTTTGATTTCAATTCTTGTTCGGGATCAGCATTAGTATCTTTATTTCGGGTAGAAAGAAATGGTACCTTGTGATCATTCCATATCAATGAAATTGGTGAAAAGTTCACCTGACAAGACATATATGATTTTTCCTAATGCATGATAGCCTGTTGGAATATTTTTGTCTATGAAGTTAATTTCTGATTGTTATACGTTATTCAAATGGTTGGTACTATGTTAGGTGTCGAATTATCATTCTTTCATCACTTGAAGCGCACTGAAGGAAATGCTTATTATGTTCGTGAAACATCGCGCATGCCTAGGGAGGTTGCCAAAAGGAGGTGCAGTATTGAACATTGGTGTATCTTGGAAGTACTTCCTTTGGTAAACTTAGTCGTTTCATGAGTTTCGGTAAAGAGTTGTTCAACATATATCTGAAGAGTAACAGCTTTTCTGTGGTGCTTCAATTTTGTTAATGGAGCGGAAGTATCTGTAGAATAGGGAAAGGTCTCCGACTCTCTCCGACTCATTTGCGATTGCCCACCAGGCGCATAGCTAGTCTCTCTGGATGGCATCTAGGAGCATCAACGTATATGTGTGAGTGCTGAACCCATATGAGGAACAGTATTCTTGAACAGGTTGTATCTGTATTTCGTAGAGTAGCTTCCATTTATATTCAGCATTGGGAATCTTTATTTCGGTTCGAAAAGAATACTACCTTGTGATTATTCTATATCGATGAAGTTTGGCAATATTTCGAATGATAGCCTGAATACGAATTTGAATAGGATAGGATACTCAAACTGTCTGGCAATGATAGTAAGAGATATATTAATTTCTCGCAGTGTACATCAGTCATTTCGAGTATTTTTGTCTAAGACCTCAATAATTCATAATTGGTTTATGTTCTTCATATTTCATTTGGTCAGAATGGTGTGCCATCCTCATATTATGTTATCGAAGCAATATTTCAATCGTGCTGTTTTTGTGATAATTCTGTCACGTTTCGACGCATGCGTGAAAACGCTTCATGTGTCACATGGAATCTGTCAAGTGTCATCTATCTAGCATAATTTGTGACGATGTCGTACATGAAGTAGAGTATTCTATTCGCGCATCTATTGTCAGTATCATTAAGGAGGCCCAATACTAGCTTCATGGGAGATAACATAAGAATATAGGTCATTCACGGCTCTCCATTCTTTATTGATATCTCGCAAGCATTGAAACTCTGCGTATATCAATGTATTTGCAAATCCTAGTTTTTGTGAAGCAGCGTTCGTGATGGAACTATCTGTCATATACTGTTTGAATTCAATAGGTATCCATAATCCGCATAGAGTATCTTTATTTCGTTTGAAAAGAATGGTACCTTGTGATTATTCTATATCGATGAAGTTGGGCAATATTTCAAATGATAGCCAAGATACTATATTTTCCATAGTGTACAGGATAACAACCTATTTGAATATGTTTCCTCTGACAATGTATTTTTTATGATTCTGATCTTTCATTTTCTATATGTCAGGTGGAGAATCTAGTTCATTATCATTATTTTATATCGATGAAGTTGGTCAAT